CCAACAGCCAGTGACTATCTTTTTTAAAGATGAGTTTAGCATGGAGGAATTAGAACAAGCCCTGAAGAAATTAAAATATAGAAACTCCCCAGGTCCAAACTAGATTCACAATGAAATGCTGCTACATCTTGGCCGGGTTGGGAGAGAAGTAGTTCTCAGGCTAATTAATAAGACATGGAGATTAAGCAAACTTGCAAAGGCATGGAGGAATGCATATATAGTCCCCATTCTTAAAACCAGGAAGTCTTCAGACGATTCTGGAAAGCTACCGCCTAATCTTCTTAACATCATGCTTGGTCCAATTGCTGAAAGAATGATAAACAGGCGCTTGTATTGGTTCCTTGTTAGCTCTGGTGTTCTGTGCCATGAACAGGCTGGTTTCCTAACCAACAGCTGTACAGCAGATTAGCTGTTCAGATTCACACAAAGAATACATGACAGCTTCCAGAATAAGAAGCACATAATGGGAAGTTTCTCTGGGATATCGATAGCTGAGAGTAGGTAGGTAAGTTGTAACCTCACCTGGACATCACACAGAGCCATAAACACTGGGTGACACAAAGTGCCACCATGCAGATGAGGATCACCCATGGAGAGGTCCCGGAAACCCGTTTTGCCATATTTCAGGCCTGGCATATTTAGGAGCTCCGGCAAAAGCCAGGGTGAGGCTCTAAACTATAGAAAATAAATACCACACATAGGGAGGTAGGTAGTTGTTCTCCACCAAGACATCACACAAGCGATAAACACCCGCTGACACAAAGTGGCACCAGGTGGATGAGGATAACCCGTGGAGAGGTCACAGAAACCCCTTTCACTCGTTCGACCATATCTATGGCTAAGCCATATTTACGGCCCGGCTATATTCAGAGCCCCCGGCAAAAGCCAGGGCGGGGCTTCGAAACAAAAAAAAATTGCATCCCACATGGGGTTGACCCACATGGGGGCGACCCATATATTGACCCACATGGGGGCGACCCATATATTGACCCACATGGGGGCGACCCATATATTGACCCACATGGGGGCGACCCATATATTGACCCACATGGGGGCGACCCATATATTGACCCACATGGGGCGCCCCATATATTGACCCACATGGCGATGGAGCTTATTGTAAATCTGGGAGTTTCTCGACAATGCCATCCTGTTGTAGAGACTACTCAGTATTCATGCACTTGACTATTCTTATTAATTGGGAGCTCAGGCTCATCAGTCACACTGTAGACTGAAATGCCATAGAAATGGCTTGACTTGGCAGCCATTTAAACATCTTTTCCATACTGTTGAGTGGAGGCCGTCTTTAATTTAGTAGACTCCACTGGCGAGAACATTTATAATTTGCATTATATCGCTTGGATTAGTCCCTCTGTGTTAAGTATACTGTTATTAATACATGAGTTCATATAATACTTACTCACTCTACGTATGCTCCAAATACATGAGTTGTGATTCTTTGCATGAATTTCCATGTCATTTGTTAATATCATGATCCTGTTTGTGTTCCTTTCTCTTTCTTTATTTCCTCTGTTGTTCTACCGCTTGTGCTGTGAAATGGTGCAAAGTAAAGGAAGGTTTTAATTGTCTAAATATTGCAAGATGTTTACTTGAAATATTCTTCTCTGCCACTTTTTCTTTTTCTACTGCACTAGAGCATGTGACCTCAATCATAACATGCTACACCCTCTTATCCTTGCTGTCTTTTGAACTTCCTTAAATATTTGAGCCATGCAATCTAATTTTCTCATATGTATAGTTTTAAATATCTGCATTTTATTTAACTTGTGGATTCCAGGGCAGTGACTTTCTAGTAATGCCATAATGTATTTTTTTTCCAGTGTGTGTCATATCCTCACATCCTGCTTATCTGTTCCCTCAGATGTGTTTAGATTACTAACTAGATATGTGGATGATTACATGTCTTGTGAACTGTAGTTTCACCCAGATAAATCAGGTTTTCATTTATCTGGTGTATAATCATATGTGTTTTTCCAGCATGAGTTTGTATACATAGTTTGTGTTATCTCTTGAGCATGCGTAATTTATCTGTCATTATATTATTTAAGGGAGAGTAGTCATTAGTACAATATCTAGATCATAAAGCTTCTTTATATCTCATCATCTCCTTGTGGGATGCCATTTTTAGTTATTTTTTTCCATGTTTCATACACTGACAAGTTTGAACATATGTTGATGAAGTCTTTTGTGCCCTGTCCTGGGTCTAAATATAATATACTGTCTCTAGTAAAGATCACATTGTCATTTTCAATACAGCTGTTAATTTTCCGACTGTGCAGTTTACATTTAATGTTTTTAATTTGTTATCTTAATGTTGTTTTTGTTTCTATTTTTTTTATTTTTTTTTTATTTAGCGTTTGTTAAATCTGATAGAGCAGTGGTTCTCAACCTGTCGATCGGGACCCTTTTTTAAATTAAACGACCCTTTCACAAGTGTCACCTAATACCCTAAGAAAACACATATTCATTAAAGTATTGAAGGAAAATAATTGTTTGGGGTTCACCACAACATGACAGAACTTTATTAAAGGGTAGCAGCATTAGGAAGATAGGAGCCGCAGCGATAGAGCATCAGCAGTTTCAAAAGATATTATGTATCAATGTTTTTATAGATATTTTTGTCATCCTCTTATAATATAATGTGAGGAATTTCATTTTATTGCTGTGTTCCACCATTATACATAATGTGGCATTTCTGTCAGTGTGGGATCTGCTTTGTCTGGAGTCTGACTGCTTATTCTTCAGGTTATCATCTTTTCATCAGTGCTTTCACTTAACAGGCAGGACAAGCTGGACTCTAAGGAAAAGCTAAAAACCAACTGAAGACAAATGCTTGGGCAATGTCATGATCCAGGTGGTCAGGCACTACTAGAATGTCCAGAAAATAGTCTCTCAGGCACATTTCTCTTTTCGAAATTATTTGTTGAAAAGACAACACATGGTTAATGAGAAGCCTTTTTTCCCCTGCTTTTAATATATCAGCTTTCCATCAACTGTGGCCAACTGTAGAACCTAATTATTATTTAGCAATAGTAAATTCATATATATATATATATACACACACACACACACACACACACACACACAGATTCTAATGTTCAGGGCAACAACTACAAAGCTTTCAGCTAACGCCTTTACATGCTGACTTCTTATGTAGGGAGACATTATACGGAGATGGCATTTGTGTTCTAGTACATTGCTCTGACTATTGTGTAGCTGTGTCGTTACACGATGCAGACATTGTCAGTCCATCTGTTCATTGATCATCCTCCTGCTCTCTAACCCCTTGTTTCAGTGTATTCCCTCGCAGGGATTGTGTTACAGGTTATTTTCTTGTGAGATACTCAGATCACCTTAATATCAATCTCTTCATATAATCAATGCATTCTGTTGCTCCTACCTTTTCCTCCATGGTCATTATTTCATCGATTGTCCCTTCAGGGACAACTTTTGTAAACAATCTCACCTCATGGGCTAAGAAATTAATATTGACTTAATAATACAAAATTAAACAGAACTAACAATATATCAAGAAGCCTCATTGGCATCTAGCAATGAGCACATATACCTCCAACAAATGCAGGAACACATTATTGAAGACTTACTGAAAACTGCTTCGGTAAACAAAAAAATGAACCAACAACAATTCAGTTGTCGCAGCAACGTGTGCAGCTCACTGATTACACCGCTGAATCGAAGCATAGATGTTTTTGTTTAGAACTTGACATTGCTTCTAGCCAGACAAAGTGCTCCCGTACTGCGGCCTGCATAATCTGTGCATCAATTGCTCATTAACTGAAGTGCTCTGAGATGTGGTCAAGGGTATCTGCACACAAGTCGAAGAATACTTGACTCAACCAGCCTCCCATAGGCATTTTTGAGACATAGTTAACACCAGATAAACCTTTGCTGTATACACGTCATATCATGTGTATTTCTATGTCTATATGTTTAGATAGAATCAATTAAATTTACCTCATGGCTGCTCATATATAGTTCTTGGTTTACATAAGCTGTTTTTCTAGTAATGCAACAAGAATATTAGACTGCATGTAACATACATACATACATACATACATAGATACATACCTGCCTACCTACCTACCTACCCACACACACACGCGCGCACGCACACACACACACACACACACACACACACACACACCTGCCAAACAGATTTTGTTACTTTTTTTTGACTGTTTATAATACCCATGAGCAACCTATATTTACACACACACATGCACACATTGATTTACACGCTGACATACAGACATGCCAATCTCCTTGCAGCACTTGTGTTTTTTTTTTACGTAAACAGTTTACATATCATAAATGTAAACATAACATTTATTTTCTGCTGGTTATTATTTTCAGTCAGTATTGCAGGTATTCTGAATTTGATATTTTACATTTGCACTATTTTTAGTTATTGCTTAACAGAAAGTTTATTAATTATGCTTGTTTTAAATTTATTCATAAACTGGTGGTGTTGTTTGTTTGTGTGTGTGTATGTGTGTGTGCTTCTGCAGTGCATGGAACACTTGTGACAGGAACAAATTAGTTTTTGTCCATATTAACATTTAGAATGCTTTGCTTGAATAATGTGATGGTTTTACTGCATGGAAAAATATGTGATAGCATCTGGGTTGTTGATATGGTGGTTTTACAGCATGGAAAAATATAAAAGAATACCTAGGCTGTTGGAATGGCAGTTTTATTGCATGAAAAAAATCTGTCATAATACCAAAGTTATTGATATTGGGGTTTTACTGCGTGCAGTAAATGTCATAAAACTTAGATTGATGATGTGGTAGTTTTAAAAAGAAAACAATCAGGAAAGCAGAGACTCCTTTAAAAATGTGAAGGGATAAAGCTTGACTGTACTGGTACAGTAGTATGAGGTGGATGATCTACACGACATCCTTGACTGCTTTCCAAAGACTATTTCTGACTCTTCCTGCACAACACTGGGCCAACAGCCGGACTATATACCACATTGGGTATGATTTGCTGTGTAACACAACAGATAGAGTGAAATCGCTTGGTGGCACCTGTAAGAGGTAGTTTCTCACTGAATGTATTTTTTTCTTATTCACAGAAACAGTCACAAGATGCAGGATCTGCCAACCCATGTGACCTCGGCCTGTCTTGGATTGAAGCTGAGCTACCAAGGATTTTCACGAAGAATGAATCAGAAGATACATAGTGAAAGATCCATAATGTTTATGTTGTGTTTTATATATTAAAATATATTTTCTTTTGACACTAATGTATGAAATGTGACTGTATGACTGCAGGCTGTTATTTTTTGCTGTGTGTACAGTATTTAAATCTGCATTCTGTTTTTCATTTTTGTTTCAGCTCTGAATTAGTTTCTAACATGCACACACACATAAACATCAGGAACTACTTACTCATATTTAACTGTACCTACATACATGTGTGGAGTTGCTGGTGTTTTTTATTTGTTGACTTGTACCTTCCCTGTGTGGGTTCTGGGATCCCATTTTGTGGGGAAAAGAATAGACCCACTGCCCTCTTAACAAACATGTCATAAAATGTGACGTTTTTTATTTAAGGGTTCGCTTCTGTTTCTTCTTCTTCTTCTTCACGTTCACCGATTTTAAAGTCCAGCAGAAAGTTCCAGAACTTGAGAGTTGCTTGCAAGTGTGTTTCACAGATCAGACTTATTTGTATGCAGATTGCTGGTTCCTTGTCTCTCAGGTAGATGCACTCTGACTTCAAAGGAAGCTCACAGTCTGTCGACTCGTAACGACATGCTAGCTGGGAAAGCAGTGGGTCTAGTCTTGTTTTCCCTACAATGGGGCTCTGGAACCCACACAGGAATATGGGTTTGCTAAAGTCACAAATGTTGGGCTGAATTGTGCAGATATTGCAGCCTAGATGCAAACCACAAAATGATGGCTCAGCTTCCCATTTATTTCTTACCTATTCTTAAATTCATCCTATTTATTGTTCATTATTTTCCTTTGGAATTTGATTTCTGAAAATATTTAACATTTTTTCCATCACACATACAGATACAATAATTAAAGTAATGGTTAGAGAGGTGAAATAAAGTAACTGTGGAAACTGATCATTCTTTAGCACGCCAGATCTGTTAGGAAGAATTTCAGCTTACAATGTGGACCACAGTCCCACTCATATCCACAGAGGAACTGATTCAGTGGGTTTAGAAGGGAACTGACTGACATACAGTATAGACTATTCTATTATCAGCATTTATACAGAACTTCAGTTGACATGCAATACACCATAGTGGATGGAAGAAAAGCTCTAATTGAATATGGTTCTTTAAATCTTCATACTACACAGTTTTTCATTAACTCAGCTCCTTTTTGTCCAGTTTCAATCATTTACTGAATGTTTTCAAAAAAACAAAAGCTGACAGGTTTTTAATCATTTGTGACATTATGTGTCTCCCCCATCACATGAGGGAGCCTTTGCCATCAGAGCATTTCATTATTAGGTTAACAGTATTGGATCAGAATGTATACAGTAATGATGTTAATCTATTATGATCTTTGGGTAACCTGTGCTGATAGTAGTGGTGAAGTCAGGAATCTGTTTAGGCTAGGTATTATAGTCCTTGGCAGTTTTCTGATTCTGGTGTCTGTTCACACAGGTGAATATATTTACTAGTAGTTGTGAAGAGTGTTTTTCTAAATCAGTATGTTTCAGGGAAGTTTCTGGTATCCAGGGTTTGTTTATGGCAAAGTCATCTGGACAGATACTGATGTGGGCATGTAAGATCATGTGTGACTTCCTGTATCCCAGGTGACAACATTTGACCCTAGGATGAACTACCCATGATTTGAAGAGAGGAAATTCTGGGAAGTTTCACAGCAGGGTGTGTAACTCTTCCTTGCCACCTGGCATTAGGAGAGGAGTTTCTGGTAATACAGGGTAGCCAGTGCACTGTCTACAGTCATATAACAGATGTTAAAAAATCACTGTCTGAAAGCCTTGCTCTGCTGATGAGTTTGGTTTGTGTCACAGACTGACATTAGCAGACTTTGTGCATTGCATATAAATCTGTTTCTACTGATACTAATGTGTCATCAGCAAGAAAATAGGGTCTCGGCATCCGTATGACCAGTCAGCATATCTGCCAGTGTTGTATCACAAGGCAAATGATGTAAAATAATGTCTTCGACAACATAAGTTTTACAAGTAAGAGCCTTGACATAATAAAAAAAAAAAGAGCATTTAATTATCCATGAAGGTGTTTTATGCCAAACCTGCATCAGTGCATAGACACAAATTGCTATTATTAACCTGTGTAAGAAGAATGTGATCTGATTATCCCCTCTTTGTTAACTGGACAACGGGCTAAATCACATTGCTGTAAGTAATTTAATCATACAAACGTTATATCTTTTTGTATTACATCATTGTCCAAATTGTGAAATGAAGAGTATGAGCTACTTGCTTGCCGTACACATGTTGTGTGTATGAGAATAACCATGTTGATGGTGACTGCTGTTTTGAATGCTTGGATGCCAGCTATTCACATACTTTAGCATCAAGCTAACTTTTCATCTTCAGTTTTTCAGTGCAATAGTTGTATGGCAACCTTATGTTGTTGCCTCCCATGCAGATCTTTCCTGTTTTTGAGTTGTGACCTCTTGTTTTGTGATATATATCACAATCTATATCAGTTGCAGATGTGTTTATTTATCATATATGTACATAGTAACACAGTAAGACAGCATGGCTTTTGTGGATAAATAAAACTTTTACACAAAGTATCAGTAAAGTCTGTGTGCAGTTATAAACTTATTGCCTGTGTTTGTTGCCTGTTTCATGGTAATCAGACTTTGTAATTACTGAATTTCTATTCATTTCACCTCATCTTGATCCTCTTTTACCTTACAATGTTGAGATGAAGTATCATTTACTGGACAGTGCCCCTATGTGTGCTTGTCTAGATCAGTCCATTTATACTTTGTTTTGTTTCTTCAAACAGTGAAAGTAATCCCCTGCCAGTTTGCTGGCCAGTTGAAGGTTGACTGACTGAATTGACCTAGATGGGTCCATCAATCTAGGCGTGCAGGAACCCCATTGACCAGTGGCCTTGCAGCCATGGTTTCCTTGTCCAGGCCACTTGTGAGTGGAGTCGCCCTGTATGGTCTACGGGTCACCAGCAGGCTATTGATTTTTCCGTTTCACCCCCAGAGAGACTAGCTGACCCCAACCTTGTTTCTTTTAATACTCTTTTTTTTTTTTTTAGGTCAACTAAAAATTTCAAATAAACAAACTGGACTCAGTTCTTGGTTGGCTGGACACATCACCAAGTGATATGATCTCAGGTACAAACAATTCAGCGATGCAACCGTTAGACAAACTAATATGTCTCACATTTGTTTCACTAGTTTTCTGATCCAGTATATGTATATTTCATAAAAAACTTCTGACCTTTTGTATATCTGTATGTATGTTTCACTAGAGATTACCGATCTAGTATATATCTGTATGTGTGTTTCACTAGAGATTGATGGTCTGGTATATATCTGTGTGTATGTTTCACTAGAGATTACCGGTCTGGTATATATCTGTATGTATGTTTTACTAGAGATTACCGGTCTGGTATATAACTGTATGTATGTTTTACTAGAGATTACCGGTCTGGTATATATCTGTGTGTATGTTTTACTAGAGATTACCGGTCTGGTATATATCTGTGTGTATGTTTTACTAGAGATTACCGGTCTGGTATATATCTGTATGTATGTTTTACTAGAGATTACCGGTCTGGTATATATCTGTGTGTATGTTTTACTAAAGATTACCGGTCTGGTATATATCTGTATGTATGTTTTACTAGAGATTACCGGTCTGGTATATATCTGTATGTATGTTTTACTAGAGATTACCGGTCTGGTATATATCTGTGTGTATGTTTCACTAGAGGATACCAGTGCGGTACATATCTGTATGTATGTTTCACTAGAGATTGCTGGCCCACAGTTAGGGAGACAGGAAGCCATGATAGTAGAGTTTGTCCTCAAAAAGAAAGCGGGGGAGACAGGAAGCCATGATAGTAGAGTTTGTCCTCAAAAAGAAAGCAGGGGGAGACAGGAAGCCATGATAGTAGAGTGTTTGTTCTCAAGAAGACAGCTGGGAAATATGAAGCCATGGTAGTAGAGTGTTTGTTCTCAAGAAGACAGCTGGGATATGTGCAGCCATGGTAGTAGAGTGTTTGTTCTCAAGAAGACAGCTGGGAAATGTGAAGCCATAGTAGTAGAGTGTTTGTTCTCAAGAAGACAGCTGGGATATGGGAAGCCATGGTAGTAGAGTGTTTGTCATCAAAAAGAAAGCTGGGGAGACAGGAAGCGATGGTAGTAGAGTGTTTGTTCTCAAGAAGACAGCTGGGATATGTGGAGCCGTGTCAGTAGAGTGTTTGTTCTCAAAAAGACAGCTGGGATATGTGGAGCCATGCCAGTAGAGTGTTTGTTTTCAAGAAGACAGCTAGAATATGTGAAGCTATAGTAGTAGAGTGTTTGTTCTCAAGAAGACAGCTGGGATATGTGAAGCCATAGTAGTAGAGTGTTTGTTCTCAAGAAGACAGCTGGGATATGTGGAGCCATGGCAGTAGAGTGTTTGTTCTCAAGAAGACAGCTGGGATATGTGGAGCCATGGTAGTAGAGTGTTTGTTCTCAAGAAGACAGCTGGGATATGTGAAGCCATAGCAGTAGAGTGTTTGTTCTCAAGAAGACAGCTGGGATATGTGGAGCCATGCCAGTGTTTGTTTGTTTTCAAGAGGACAGCTGGGATATGTGGAGCCATAGCAGTAGAGTGTTTGTTCTCAAGAAGACAGCTGGGATATGTGGAGCCATGGTAGTAGAGTGTTTGTTCTCAAGAAGACAGCTGGGATATGTGGAGCCATAGCAGTAGAGTGTTTGTTCTCAAGAAGACAGCTGGGATATGTGGAGCCATGGTAGTAGAGTGTTTGTTCTCAAGAAGACAGCTGGGATATGTGAAGCCATAACAGTAGAGTGTTTGTTCTCAAGAAGACAGCTGGGATATGTGGAGCCATGGTAGTAGAGTGTTTGTTCTCAAGAAGACAGCTGGGATATGTGAAGCCATAGCAGTAGAGTGTTTGTTCTCAAGAAGACAGCTGGGATATGTGGAGCCATGGTAGTAGAGTGTTTGTTCTCAAGAAGACAGCTGGGATATGTGAAG